TCACCCAGTTAGTACCTTTACAGCTACCAGTCCTGGCGAGAGATGTCACTATTCACTGTATTCATTAAATTTTTATTGAATTGATATTCAATTATTTTTTGTGAAATTACTCCACTAGAATCCGACCGGATCGAAGGAATTTTTTCTGAGTGTTTTTTCTGAGTGTTCGATCTTTGTATTAATAATTATAACAAACTAGTGGAGTAATTTCACAAAAAATAATTGAATATCAATTCAATAAAAATTTTACAGATTAATTGTTTTAATATTTTTAGATGTTTTAGCATTGTTTCTACGTGTATGATTAACTTCTTAAATATGGCGAGAATGCAAATCGACACACTGTATAAGTATCAATATGATATTTAAAATATCTCTCCAATGGGCTAAGGCTTACACCCTATCCCTAAGGTTCACCCGTAGGTACCTAACATTAGGATATATTATAATGATTAAAGTACAAAAATTGTCTTATATTATTTCAAACAACACACAAAACTTTAGTATAGGTAGTATAAAGATCAGTAGTTAGCACATCGAGAAATTTTTAAGATTTTTTTAATTATATCAAGTGACGGGACGAACAAGTCGTGCGCCTGACGGTAAGCTACACGCTTGTCCACAATAGTTACAGTGCCTGAGGGGCATCACCCTGAGACATAAGTTGACAAGTCCCATGTGCCTGTAATTTCACCAGCACCCTTACCCCTTCTAAACCGGAACGCAGTAATGCTAACATTACTGCTTGGAGTAAGTACTGCAGGCTCTTTCACAAGGATCTCTACTGCTGCTAATATCGATACGGTTCATTTTATTTGGATCGAGTGGCAGGGACACGTTTTTTATTTTATTTCAGAATTTATTTTTTTTACAAACGTAATTAAAGCCATTTGACTTAGTTATATAATATTTGGTTTAGTTGACATAAAAAAAATATTGGGATATGTAAAGTACGTAATTATTACAACGGAGTTCTTCTAAAATTTCGTGGCAAGTTTGTGTTTTTTTCTACCTTAAAAATTTTTAGGAATCGTGTTTTCACACCGTATACTAATCAGTTTTTTCCAAAGTAAATGATTCAGTACTTTCACTGTTATGCGGAATCAACCAAAGCCATTTGAGGTAGAACAGACTGTTAAGAGAGGTGGCCACGGTGAGGCAACATACACTGGTTCGAGTCGAGTCGGATCGAAAGAATTCTTACATGTGCCTCTTTTATCTGTGTATCAAGAACAATAACTAACTAGTGGGGTATTAATTAAATTTTTTATTGAATTGATATTCAATTATTTTTTGTGAAATTACTCCACTAGTTTGTTATAATTATTAATACAAAGATCGAACACTCAGAAAAAATACTCAGAAAAATTCCTTCGATCCGGTCGGATTCTAGTGGAGTAATTTCACAAAAAATAATTGAATATCAATTCAATAAAAATTTAATGAATACAGTGAATAGTGACATCTCTCGCCAGGACTGGTAGCTGTAAAGGTACTAACTGGGTGATAAATCTGTCAAAGATTTCTCATAGATGGCGCTACGACTAAAAAGTCGTTGAAAAACCAAGTACAAAGACACGACGCAAGCACATAGAAAAATTCGCGAGGT